TCCTCAATTTCCTGCGGCTGGGCCGCCTGGACCTGCCCCGTGGCTATGGGGAGACGGCCCTGCTCAGGGCAGAGGCGGACTTCTACCAGATCCAGCCCCTCCTGGATGCCCTGCGGGAACTGGAGGCCTCTCGGGGGACCCCCGTGCCCACAGCTGCCCTGCTCCATGCAGATGTAGACGCCAGCCCCCGCCTGGTGCACTTCTCCGCTCGCCGGGGCCCACACCACTATGAGCTGAGCTCTGTGCAGGTGGATACGTTCCGAGCCAACATCTTCTGCACCGACCCCGAGTGCCTGGGCGCCATGCGGGCCCGATTCGGTGTGGCCAGTGAGGACAGGGCAGAGGGAGGCCCTCACTTTCGTCTGGAGTGGGCCCCCTGTCCCGCAGAGCTCCCTGAGGTGGAGTATAGGAGACTGGGGCTACAGCCTCTGTGGACTGGGGGGCCGGGGGAGCTGCGGGAGGTGGTGGGCACGCCGGGCTTCCTGGAGGAGGTGCTGCGGGTGGCTCTGGAGCACGGCTTCCGCCTAGACTCCGTCTTCCCTGACCCCGAGGACCTGCTCAACTCCCGATCTCTGCGCTTTGTGAGGCACTGAAAACGCGGCCCTCCCGTCTGCCTGGGAGGGGGAGAGAACGGACAGCAAAGAGAATGAGAGACTCCCCCCCCCCCACCACCACCACCTCCTAAGCCTCTTCTTAGCTCTGCCTCTGGAGCTGTGAGGGTCAGGGCTGCACCTTGACTGGAGCCCAGATGTGGGCAGGAGCTCCCGAACCTGAGCCGTGCAAAGGGTCTGGCTCGGTGCTAATCCTGGGAGGGGCGGGGAAGATCCCCTGGCTTGCTCTTGCGTGAGGCTGGGGGCCTGCAGTGTCTCCCCGTTGGAGCTCAGTATTTCAAGGGTCTAGAGAAATAGGGACACCTCTCTGCCCAGGCTAGGCCTCGCAGAACCCTGGGGGGGGACACCGAAGTGTGGGAGAAAGGAGGACTTTGAACTGCTCTGATGTGGTCTCCTGGACCGTGGCTTCTCCTGTGGCTGGATGGCCTGGCCAGGCCTGACAGAAGACAGACCAGAACATTCTGGAATATGGGAAGGGGGATCCTTTGCTCTGTCTCAAGTCACCTCCTGAGGGAGACAGAGAGGCCACACCCCACCCCACGGTGGCCTAAGGGAGCTAGGAGAATCCCCATTTACTATGGGGCTGGAGCCCCACACTCTAGAAAGCCAAGTTTTTAAAGGACCCTCCATTGATGGTGGAGCTGGCCTTTGGGAAGAGGGTGGCATCTTCTTGGGCCTTGGCCTTACTGCCTTCATGTGTGCACGCGTGTCAGCCAGAGCGTCTGAGCGACGTCTGGGCCTCTCACATCCAGGCTCCCGTCCGTGTGACAGTCTCTCCGTGGTCTCTGCCTGTGCAGGCCTGTTTGGGGTTGCCCAGCAACTGCTTTGGCGCTGGGTATGTCTGCCGTATGGGTGTGAGTAGATTGAGAATTAGTAGTTGAATCACGAGGGGTTGTCTGTGTGTGTGTGCACACATGTGTGTTCGCCTCCCCGCGTAGGCACGAGGGGCCTGTGGAAGCCTGGGTCGCCAGGGGCTTCCTGGTGAAAGGTAAGAGAAGTCACTGGGCCCCGCCGGCCCTTGGAGGCCTGTGTAGAACTCTTGGTTGCTAAGGCAACCGTGGGCAGGTTGCTAGGAGAGAGCTGGGAAGGCCCAAGGCGGCCCAGGGCAGAGGGGAGATGAACAGAGGAGGCCGGGAGGGTTGGGGGAGGATGTGGTTTCTGGGTCCCCGAGGGATGGGATCCTCACGCACGAGTTCTTCAC